TTGCATTACCCCTAAAATTTTCACCACCAAGTGAATGCAGCAACTGCAATATAAAAAGAGGTCAGATGAAACCGGAGAAAACTGCAAGTATAAAGTTGATTTGTACTTAACAAGCTTAGAATTTAGTCAAGGTATGTATTAACTCACGGTCTTGTAGCGTTCATAAGCATAGAAGCTGATGGCAGAATATGGAAGACGATGAGCAATGGTAACGAGATTGCCTCTCCAAAATGCTTTAAACCCTTCTTCATTGATAATACGTGAAGCCTCATGCCATATGCTAGCCTTACTCAATGCTGCAATGTCAGAGTGCATTCCTTGCACCTAATCAAAGAAAATGATGGAATAGTCAACTAACAACCTTCAAACAGGAACATCACTAGCACCGCTCAAGAGAAAAGTTCAATGAAAAGAAATCCCATACTCACACATAATGATATGTAGCAGTCCATCCTGTCCTATGTTTGGATGAGGGCTTTATATTTCCAAGGAACTTTATGCTCAATTGTCAAAAATTGCACTACAAACTACTGAACTACTAAAAATGCAATACAAAGTTAGCCCTTCAAGGTGTCATTTGAAATTTCTCTCAAATGTATTGCATCTAGTGACTTTCAAGTCCCTCTCTAGTTTTTAGTGCGTCCCTAACAAATTTAGCCTTAGTCCCATGAACAAAGTCCCTCGTCCAAGTGTGCCATTAGGTAATTCATCTTTCTAAACCAAGGATGATTGCCAGCCTTAACTATAAATAGCTACAGAGTAATGAAATGAAATCAGCTTCCCACCACTAACATCATCGCAAAACATAAACCCACGAGCAATTGAATTATATGGAAACTTCTCTGCTCTTAACCATTTTCAGAAACCCCAGATTCCAACACAACTTGCACGGTTCTACTCCACACAAAATCACCAAAAACAAAACTTTCGTTTTCTAGCAATGTTTATCTTAAGTTAAGCATGTCATTTCCACAAAGAAATACTCTCAAAACTTTGTCAATTTCCAATTGTATAGGAACATTTTTGAACTAACACCAATCTAACAAAAGCAATTAAACATCTTCAGGCTTCAACACACGGTGCCCTGTATTTTCTTTCATCATAATCCCAACCCTCCACATTTCTTACAGGAAACTAAAACCAACAATTCAAAAAAATAAACCCTCTATTTCATAACCCCCATTAGAAAAACAGAGGCCCAACTTTTAACACTTAAAAATCCCATTTATCAAACATCAATAATGATTGAAAACATAAACCCAAAAAACCCAATATCACAAAACTATAAAACTAGCCACCAAAAAATTCATTGAAATTAATAAGAACAGAACCTGAAAGAGGATGGTGAGGCGAGCAAGAGGTGCAGTGCAGGTTTTTCCAAAAGCACCGGCGATACCGCCGGCTAAGAGCTGGTTCACCGTCCCTATCTGGGACTGCGGATTCAGAGACTGCTTCGCCTGGCTCTGCTGCTGCAAGAATTTCCTGGCGCCCCCATCCACCACGCCTCCCTGCGCTAAATTCGAAGCTCTCTGCTTTCCTTCCACCACCACCCCAACTCGAGCTTCCATATCCAAAACTGTCTCTCTATCGTTCTCTTTCTGCCTCTCGAAAGCTTCAATCTTTTCCCAGTCTGCAAAACTGGGTCGGCCGAACTTGGCTGATCTCACATGGGTTTTGGCGGTTTGAAGAGAATCTTATAGAATCCGTGGAATTGGGTGAAACTATGCAGTCATAGAGTTGGAAAAATCAGGGAAGGAGTCCAAAGAGAGACCCTTTTGAGAAAGGTGGAAACCCTAACTAGGGGTTTGCGGACTTTTGGTTTGTGTTTACATAATAAATAGGTTATGTCCGGATGCCTTTAACGAGAGTATTCCTATTTAAAAAAAAAATAAAGAGATTCTCTTGATCGTTAAATTTGATTTTAAAAAATTGTATGGTTAGATTATATGATTTGTGATTTAATCTCAACCACACAATTTCATTAAAGTCAATCCAACGTTCAAGAAGGTATTCCTAATTTTTTTGAAACCATTCAAAATGCAAGAAGAGTATGTGAAATTACAACGTGTGGGAATAGAAATTGCAATGTGATCAACATTCAAGTTACTTCTAGAAAGCTGAAATTCTCCCTCATGATTCATATGACCCAAGGAAAAAAAAAAAAAAATCAAGAACAAAGAATCAAGGGTGTAGTCAAAAAATTTACGATTGAAGGGCTAGCTAAAAAGTATAAAAAATATATATATTTAAAAAAAAAATTATATTCACACAACTCAAATTACTTCTCTCATATTTTTTTTAATTTTTTAATATTTTCTATCAAGGGTTAGTGGTATGTAGAAAATATTAAAAAATTAAAAAGATGTGGAAGAAGTAATTTGAGGTATGCGAATATAATATCTCTTAAAAAATGGCTCTACGATAATCTTACGAGTAATGCTAAGGAAACTTAATTTGGAGACTAAATTTTGAAAACTAAGTACATAGAAGTTGATAATTGGTTTATTACTTAAACGTTAATAGACGTGCTCATTTTTATTGGTGACACATGATTTAGTTTGCAATTTTAATCTCTAAATTTAGTTTTCCTATCATTACTACAATCTTGTAAGCAAAACTAGTCCAATTATTCTATTTTAATCGACCTTTAACATGACAAATACATATAAAAATAAACATACAAAAAAATTTAATACACTGTAAAAGTTTTTGAAATTAATAAAATTTATGCATAAAATAATTTAAAAATTGAAACATGCAACGAGCTTCTTATGAAAAGAATTAAAAGTACAAATAAAGTAAGTAATTATTGTCGTGGTTAACCATAAATGGATAGATATGAAGTGTAAAATATATTTGGTTATTTAGGAAATAGATAGTAATGGTTAATGAAGTAAATAAATGAAAAAGATGCATAGGTGGAAAGGAATTGAGCTCTTGCATGACGGACTAAGTTCAAATCTCGTTGATAACTAATCAAATATCTAACAAGATCTATCATTTGACCAAAAAAAAAATAGTGAAATGCATATAAAAATAAATAAAATATCGGTGTAATTGGTTTGTATTCACAAGAGCTATCTAGACTATATTGGCTCCGCCCTTGCAAAGAATGTCCCTCGCGAGTCTTTTTCTCATATCATTTCCCCACTATTTGCTCTAAAATTTCATTAACTTGACAAGTTTTCAATGTAAATCGAGCTCTTTCTTTGATTGAATCAAAGTCAAAGGTTTTCCTTCACATAAATTTTCAATGAGCTCTTTCCTTCAATGTGAATTTACCGTTGTTGTCGGGCAACAGTACCAAATATGTCGGGCAAACTTCCAAATTACCCCCACATTTTTCTCAAAAAATTAACTTTCCTCTGGATTAAAAGGTTTGCCCGATGAAATATTGTAAACTTGGTCGGATAAAAACACTTTTCCACCATTTTTTCGCTAAAAGTTAAACTATGTGGACATTTCTATGCTTCTTTGCCCAACGAACGGGTTAGTTTGCTTGATAAGTATATTTGTTCAAAATACACGTGTCACAATTTTAAAACCTTTGCCCGACGAATGGGTTCGTTAGGCATCTATCTGAAATTTAAAATTAGGCCTAGAACCTTCTTCCTTGCAATGTTGTTATTCTTTGCTCTCTCTTTCTATGTGCTCTCTCTCTGCCCTCTCACCCTCTCCCTCAATTTGCCCTCTCGCTCACTCGCCTTCTCGTAGACTCCCTCTCTCTGTCATGTTCAACTTCCGAAATTACCAAAGGAAGGTTTGCTCATCTCCTTGATTTATATGAGTAACATGTGGAAAATCTTGGGTTTTGATGAAGGAAATTTGTGAAATTGGTAGGAAATCTATGAAATTTGTAGGAGATTTATGAAATTGGCAGGAAACATTTGTGAAATTTGTGAAATATTAGAAATTTATAGGAATTTTTTAAATTTGTTAAATTAGAGAAAGTTGTAGGAAATATTTGTAACTTTACAAGAAATGCTAGAAACTTGTGGGAAATTTGTGAAAAATTGTAGGAAATTTCTTAAGTTTGTGAAATTTGTAAGAAATATTAGAAATTTGTAAGTTTGTAAGAAATGTTACAATTTTGTAATTTTTATATGAAATTTATGAAATAATGTCATTTAACAATGTGATTTTGTATGAATTTTGAAATAATGTAATTTTGTAAATTAGTGTTAGCTTTATTGTGATTTTATTCACGGATGTCATCGCAATTGATCATGGTGGTCCGCGATTTGCCTCCGGTCATAATGACTCGGCGGCAGAGATGGCTGATATTCCATTGGCAAGAACCAGCAGTACCCAGGTGGCCACGGCCGAGTCAGCGATCAAGTTCACTCCATTAGCTTTATCGGTCCGGGAACCCCGATCTGGCAGACGTATTCACCAGTCAGAAACAGCCCGGAGCTGTGCCAACCCAGCACCCGTTGGTGATACGGTGGAGGCTAATGCCAATTCGGCGACCATGCCCCCGACAGAGACGAAGAACTCTCAGCTGAGGTGGGAAGAAAATGAAAATACAGGGGACCTGTAAAGGCTTGTCCTCAAACCAGATTATCACATAACGCATGCCAAGATCGTGGGTAGTTTACCACCCATGAAATCAACGAACGGACCTGAAAGCCAATAGTCTATTGATGCAAAATATAGGGGCCATCATTCGCAGCTATGGGCACATGCTGGGCCGGGCCCAAATTTGGAGGAACCTGGCCGCACCCGTTATAAATTGTAACGGAGGGGCCGGGTAAAAAGATTATGAGTTTTGAAACCAGACCTAACCCAGCCCGTTTCAAACGAATAGGTCAGGTTGGGTTCACGGGTCAAAATCTTTTTTTTTCTTCTTTCAAAAATTACAAGAGTTGTTTCAAGCTTCTGCACAGACAGATTAAGGAGCTATTCCAAATCCAAAAAAAAAACATAAACATTAAAACCGAAGTAACATTCGCATTAACATCTACAATGACATCAAACGTCCAAAATGATGAGGTGATACATGATGGTCAAAGAAATTGCATTACCGAAAGGAGAACTGCAGTCTCAATTCCTTGTACATCTTTGAAGGTAACATATGCAATTTGGGACCGCTCAGTATCACTACATGGAGCATTCAATAAGACAGATTCAGACCAAGATAATGAAAGACAATAAATCCATTAAACTAAATCAATCACCCAACCTCATCATTTCGACGTAAAAAAAAAAACATCACCAGAAAAAGAAAAGAACTCATTTATGTCTCTCTCACTTGCACCCAAGGAAAGATTGATGGCCTTGAAGGTTGTTACTTGCAACAGAATGATAACATGAATCTTTTATCCAAACATCCAACACTGAAAAACAACAAACTCGAAATGAATCAGATGGAAAAATTAACACACACGGCTAAAGATTAATTCTTTAAGTCAAAGTGTAAAACTAATAGAGGAGTAGCTTGTTCTTATTTTGCATGTTGCATCAATTGTCTTTTACTGATGTAGCAGAGCACTGAAAGCCGCAAACACAGATTTCCAGTGATAAAGCTCTTTGTCCCGTCTATTGGATCTAAAATCCATACATAATCTGCATACTTCTCTTTACATCTCCACCCATTTTCTTCTCCATAACTCTATCATATCTTCTCCAATAGCACAAAATCTAAATATTCGAAATTCATACACTAGCACCAAACCAAATTCGAAACTCATACACAAGGAGCAAATCAAGAACCCAAAGTCCCAAAATCTAGAAAACCCTAATTTATTTTTCAATCCTAATCCCGAAAATTGAATACCTTTTGTGAGATAGACCGTCAGGTGGTGGTCAGAGTTGAGAGGAGCTTGTGGTGGTGGTCAAAGTCGACTTCAAACGGAAAGGAACTCAGCTATCGAGATTCGAGAGGGAGTCTAAGAATCGAAAGGGAGGAGAGTCAATCAGTTTGAGAGAGAGAGAGAGAGAGAGAGAGAGAGAGAGTGGAGAGTCACTGAGTCTAAAATTGACGATCAGATTCGAAAGGGAGAACTGATCTGTGGAGATTCAGTCTAGGAGGGAGAGATTGAGAACCGGAGAAGGTGAACTGACAGAACTGTGTGTGAATGGTTTGTGTATGCGTGTGTGAGAATTAAACGGTGGAGAGTTAATCTCCACTATGAGACGGTGGATACGGTCCGGGTAGGGCCCGTGTCCTCAGAAATTTGAACCCGCCCCTTCCCGTCCCGTTTTTGTGTATAAAATATATGTAACCGCCCAGAACCCAGATCGAACCACTAGGACCTGCCCCGCCCCTCCCCACTTGTCCAAGACTCATTTGCCCATCCCTAGCACTAGGTGTCCCATGCTTGCCCCTATATGGAGGAATCTCGCCCCTGAGGTTCAAGAGGCGATGAAGAAAGAGATCTTGGTAACTTTTTTTATATTTGTTTAGTTTATTATTTTTATTACTTTAGCTTTTTTTTTTTTTTTTGTCTATTTCAGGTCAACTTAGAGATTGACAAGGAAGTGTCGGATATGTCCTAGTACATAAAGTGAGTGTGGTTTGAGTAGTACAAGGAGTGGAAGTATGAGCTGCACATGTACTATCAAACTTGCGCATCTTCAGTTGAAGCTCAACGGATTCACCCCAGAGTTTGCAAAAAGGATAGATGAGTGGCACTGGCCTTACAGCCATTTTTAGAGCCCGAAATTTCTAGTAAGATATTTTTTTTTATATATATATATAATTTCATTTCAATTTTATGTTTTTTTTAATCTTTTTTTTTTTTTAATTTAGACTGATTTATTTTATTCACAACGAAAATAAAGGGCAAATCAGGGTAACCAGGAAGCGAAGCAGTATCTCCATTGTTTTCTGCCCCTTACTTTCCGCATGGAGGAACAGTGTGAGAAAGGTTTGCTTTTCCAGGAAACCAAGACCTGAGGGGATACACGTGCCAATTATGGCAACTACATGGTTGAAGACATTTATGTAAGTATTCTATTCAAAATTTTAATTTCAAATTTCATTACACCTAAAAAATTTTAAATTATGATTGATAATTTTAATTGGTTTACTTTTTTTTTTTTTTTTGTAGGCTTCTATGTCACTGAAGAAGGATGAGTACCTCACCAACCTCTCTTAGCAACAATCGAACACGCCAATGGAGTGGTTGACACATGATCCAAATGTGTATCTACAGTTGCTGGTAGACGGGCTTAGGCAACAAAAAGGCCGAGAGTTTTGCATCTTAGAAGCAGGTCGAGTTCGGGAGCTTGGGAAATATTTTTCGTCTAGCTCTCAGCCTCCAAGCAGGACGTCTTCTAGACTCCATCAAGTAGAGATGAAGTTAGAGGCCATGCACCAGCTAGATGAAGAAGGGCACTAGCGAGAAGAAGCTCGAGAAGAAGAAGAGGAGTTTCAATGGTACATTGCTGCAATGGTGCATGCAGTGGCAGCCTTTGGCATTTGCCTTCCTGATCCTCCGAGCTACCTTCAGCCACCCCCAAGAGTAGTTAGTTTAGGATCTTCTACATATAGCATTGATGACACACCTGGATCCAAAAATTAAGGTGTGCTAGCCGTCACGTGAAGTGACGTAGCCAAGTGTGCAATGCGAAAGTAATAGAGTGAATATACGAGAAAAATAAAGTCGACGAGATAATTTACAATAAAAAGATCAGTGAGTACAAATGACAAACATAGAAGGAAAAATGCAAAGCAGAAGTTCAAGTATCCTAGGTGCAGTCCGAATAAACAAACACTACACAAGGGATAACTAGAAAGTCCTACATGGAGGGTGTTCTGTCAGAAATGCCTCGATGCCTCCTTCGTCACCCACGTCCTCACTACCTAAAACCTAGAGGGGCGCAAAACAGAAAACGTGAGTGGGCAAAAAAAAAGTTTGTTTTTCAAACCATTTCAATATCAAGTAATAACCGCTCTCTGTAAAACCCGTATACTTTCCTGAAAATATTATACGTACTCGTATATCAAATCATGCTAAAACGATAAAGCTCAAATATGCCATGCCAGAATATGCCGCATCAGAATATCCAAACAAATGGTATAAACATCAAGCAGGTGAGATAAAACAAATCATACTATGCCAGTAATATCAGTACGTCAGCCGGAGTCACCTAAAGTGACCTATAAGGATGAAACTATAGCTCCTCAACCACTATCCTACACACGAGTCGAAACCACCTATAGTGGTCTATACGACAGGCTGGTGTATATAAATACGCTCAGTGCTACGATCACGTGAAGACTGTGCGATGTATCGCGGGTCACCTACGAGTCAGAACCACCTATAATGGTCTGTACGACAGGCTGGCACCTGCCTTAGATCCAAGGTGAGCGTACGGTGTGGGAGGTGAACGATTATGTGAAGGCTAGGCCCTACTCTGGCGGAGAACAATCACTGAGGTTCAGGAATATAAGCTATAATTCTATCTCATCAAAACCATATCTATCACTAACAACATACTCACCTGACTTACTTAAGCGTCTGCGGCACCAAAGCATAACCAACACAATCACAATAATAATAACGACGATATTCGACATGGCATTTTAATTATAAAACCATTAAAACGTAATTTCTGGAAAGATACCAATCAATATATATATATACTGAAAACAAAAGCCCACTCATTGATACGTAGAAGGGTCGTAAGCCACGAGCCTCACGTGGCTGCGCTCGTCCTCCGGATATTCCTCACCTATATGCGAAACAACTATAAAAACGCACATAACGAACCTTAGATAATAACTTCTCATACATTGCTTAAATGTGGTGTTTGAATATACCAACATGCTCTACTCAACCTCACAAACATCCCCATATTTTTAAAATAATTTTCCGACCTCCCACGCTCCGGCTAAGGCACGGCCAGACGCTCCAGCCACGCGCGGGCACGTGCCTGGCACGCGTGTGGAACCTTAACGATATTAGGGAATATTCAGTTAAAACCCTAACAGAGGTTAACGGCCGTTACCTGACGCCGTTAAAATATTTCGTTAACTCTGACGGAATATTCTCCTCCTTCTCCGGTGAACCTCGCCGGTCGTCATCGTCTACAACTCGAATTCTCGCCGGAAACTGGAAAAACTTCAAACCTTAATATCTTCTTCAATTCTCAACCAAATTCCATGAAATTTGTATCAAAATGAAGCTTACAACGAGTAGAATAGAACCTTATCACTTTAGGGGACCTAAAACCAACAGAATCTCACCGGAGAAACCTCGATAATCCAACCAAACCTGCAACTCGACGAACTCAAGCTTCCCGACGTCCAAAACACTTCAAAATTACTCCCCAAGCTTCGTGAAGACGTCCTAAAGCTCCCTATAACCTTAGAAACTTCTAAAAACCTCACGATCATGTGTGCATAAACAATGCACCAAATCTGGGTTCTCGGGTTTTCGATGGTTTCAAGTCCAACCAACACCATCAATCAACTCCTGAGCTCAAAAGAGTCCAAAAACACCAACAATAAACACGATCCATGCCAGAAATGGTTGGATGGAGGTTGTCTGTACGATGAGGAAAAAAATGGAAGAAATCCGAGAGAGAAGAAAGAGAGAGAGAGGTCCACGCGGGAAAGGATGGTGTGTGTGAGTGTGTGTGCGGTCCAAATGGCAGCCCACCAACCAAAAACAAAACAAACCAAACACCCTACAACGCTAATTAACGTCCAAGGGTAAAATCATCATTTCACACCTACTGTACAAATGATTCTAGATAGGCTCTAACAATTGAAGTTATTGAAGGCACCATAAATTACAAAAGAAAAGACAGAGAATCCACACTAAACAAAAAAGAAAAGAAATCCAACAAGAGAGTGAAGTTAAACTAGCCCTCCCTTCCCTTAAGTATGGACTGTATAATGATTTATGCGGATATTTTAGGTTAATACTAGCATATGGGCACACACAAAGTGAGCGAGAATTTATTTATTTTTTTTTTTTTTTGTGTTGAAATAAAAGGAGAGAGGAAGAGAGTGATAAAGAATGTGGAAGTGGGAAGATTTTTTTTTTTTTAATTAGATATATGTTAGGATTACATGTAGGTGAGGCTTTGAAAAAAAAAACAGCAAAATTTGGTTGTGTGAAATTACATTTATGCCTCATATTTCTTATTCATGTTCTATTTTAATTAAAGGGTTAAACTCGTAATTTCATAGGATTTTGGTTGACAATGAGTGTTTTATTAATTAGTAGAGATAATTGAATAATTTATTTTAATATTGTTATTTCTTTTGAGATTTGTTGATGCACAAAATCGGTGAGGACTTTGGTACAACATAAAGTGTCAAGTTTGTGACCTTCGCTAGATTGCTCTGGTCATTAGTATGGATAAGTATGTAAATGGAAAGAGACATGGAAGCAAACAACACAAGATGTACGTGGTTCATCCAGATTGGCTACGTCCACGGAGTAAAGGGGTTCTCATTAGTTGTGAAGGGTTTACACAAATACATAGGTTCAAGCTCTCCTTTAGTGAGTTCTAGTGAATAGTTTAGTACAAATGACATTAGGAATTATTGTGGGAGAATGATCCCCTTTTAAAGAAGAGAGTTTATAGCTTTGTTCTGACATTGACACGTATCGTGCTGTGATTGGCCTCTGAACGTGTTGCGCTGTAATTGACCTCTGATACCGACACGTGTCGCATTGTGATTGGCTTCCTAGTTGGAGGGAAAGTCTTGTGGGTCATTGACGGTATAATGTTGACCGGTGCTCAATAATTTCGGGATTGGTCAAGTGTGGTACAAACAAGATTAAAATAATTAAAACTAAATAATTTAAATTTAATTTAATTTAATTTAAATTACGGATTCAAAAAAATATTAAAGTATATGTCGAGCATGTATTTTATATATATATATATATATATATATATATATATTTTTTTTTTTTTCTTTTAAATTCCTTGCTCAACGACTTTTCCTTGCA